AGAAAATGCTCTCCAACAGCTGTTTTACTAAAAAAAGAGAACCACAAAGGACAGCTGTTAGCAAATGCCTGAACCTTTTATCAAGCACTGAAATACCTCTGATGCTCTTGAGATTCTTTTGCTGTCCTCTGCCTCACTGCCTCTAATGGGTACAAGTCATCATGTGATGTCTGAATTTTCTTCACTGGTTAAGAGTATAAGTTAGGGCAAAACAGGCATGATAGAAATCCTCCACAGTTACACCACCACAGAATTTTTGCATGCCTTTTTGTCAGTAGCACAGCTTCTGAGTCTTCTCTCTACATATACAAAATGGGAATAATAATTCTGTCTCAGCAGTCTAACAGGGAAAGCTGATAACTCCCTTCAAGACAAGGAAGTGCTGAGATATGGAAGGTGTACTGATACACAAATCAATACATTCAAAAGATATAAAAAGATAATATCTTACATGATCAGTTATAAACCTAAAAAGATTAAGTGATCCATTCAGTGTGTTTCCAAAGGGCCTTTATTTTGCTACACTGGAGTAAAGCAATAATTAATCTTTACTTGCTGAAGCTACTTGCACTGTAAAGCTCTATCTTCACTAGGATAATGGTGGAAAAAGACCCAGCAGCTTTATTCTCCTTTAAATCTTCCTGTCATGGTGCAACTAGAATAGCTCCAAAAATTAAAAAGAGACAAGGGAGGAATATAGATGTAAAGAGCAGAAGAAGCCATTTTTATTGTCAATGAGAATTAGGCAGCCAATCTTTCTAACCACAAAGCAATTTAACTTGGCCTTTTACTGGATCCATTTTCTCTGATTAATTTTTATGATGTCAGACTTTTCTTCCCTTGGGGCTGGAAGTTTGCAGGACATTATGCAAGTCTTTAACTCAAAGTCCTGTCTCTGGCTCTCTGATGATCCTTCAGGTGCCAGCAGCTTGGAGCCCTGACATTTCTCAAAAGTGCAGGTGATAATCTGACAAGCATGGTTCCTCTCTCTGTGAAATGTGACACAGCATTAAAGTGAGTTACTGCTCAGCACTTAACAGCTGTTGGCTTCTCCTGACAGTATTAATACAACATTAGACATAGAGACATTTCAAGAGTGAGAGATATTTTTGAGCAATTGCAGGTCTGCAAGGTTTCTCTCAAAGGTGTTTGTTTAACTGGAGCTCACAGCTGCAAGACTTAAAAAGAATGTATCCATATACAAGCAACAGCAGTAGCTTGAGTCATTTGCACACAAAATGATTCCACTTGACGTGAAAAGGTTTGCATTTTCTGACTCCCCTTACAGGAAGTCTAATCTGCTGCCACCAACACAAACAAGCTTTGTCTGTTTGAAAAGTTCATTGCCTTGTTACTATGACCAACCACAACACCGAGACAGCTGTATCATTCCTCTGTGTTCCAATGCTTTTCCTTAGAATCACATCAAGTACTATTTACAAAAAAAGACCGCTTAAAAAAATAAAGCCTAAAATAACTTTAAAAAGTCAAGGATTTTTTTTTCTACATCTACCTCCATCTGCTACTTCTAAGTCTAATGCTCAGGAATAAATTAACCAGTCCAGAACACATGTATTCACAAACTGCCATGTAAGTGATGTAGTTGCAAAATTATTCATCCTAAAGTCATTTAGTAAATTTTTTTCTCCATTTTTGCAGTCTGTTCCTTCAATGTCTATGTTTTTGTATGTATTAATTTTATCCAATTCAACTTTCCTGGCTGAATGCCTGAGAACAACAATCTACTAAGTCAAGGTTGCATACCTTCTTACCCTGACAGCATCTTCTCTATCTACTTACAAGTCAGGTCAAGATGTAAAAGTGAGAGGTTGAATTTGATGACAATGGGCATTTCCATCTGATGCTCAAAGTTGATTATATTTCTGGTTTTATTTCAAGACAAGCAGAAGAAGAACAGTATATTTTGGCAAACAGGCATAGCCCTGCAAAACATGGCACATTGTAATAGACTATTTCATCTGAACTGGGAGGAAAATACAAGAATAATAATTTGTAATATTTGTACTTGTCTGTGATGGTGACTCCTAGATAGAAGGGCTCTTTGTTGTTTAGAATTGAAGCTTCTTGTTACTCTGCTAAAAAAATACATGTGCACTGGGAGGAAAATACAAGAATAATAATTTGTAATATTTGTACTTAAGATTGTCTGTGATGGTGACCCCTAGATAGAAGGGCTCTTCATTGTTTAGAATTGAAGGTACTTGTTACTTTGCTAAAAAAATACATGTGGAAGGGCCAACAGCCAGATGCACTTATAGATGACATGTAATTCCCACTGGTGTCAAGAACAGGAATAGTCAATTATGAGCTGAGACGCTGGCAACCAACACAAAAATCACGTTCTACAGGAATGTACACCAACTCAGAGATTTTGTCATGGCATTAAATTTCCTTTCAAGTGTAACTTTTGACTTTGGGAAGGAAAACCTAAGCAAGCAGAACAACATTTCCCTCCAGTAAGGGGTTTTATATATTTTGACTTGATCTATGTGTCATGTCTTCAGAAGGAATCCCAAAACCCGTCTTACAAACTCTAGACATATTGACAAAATAAACCACTTAAGGAAGTTGTTTATATGCATATAAGCTAGCCATCCAAAAATCTCATCATACTTGACTGCTTTCTGAATTTAACATCATTCCTGCAGATGGTAATCACATTGCATCGTGATGCTTGTTTTAAAAAGTGTTTTTTTCTAAGGCTCTGGGCACGGTGGAGACTCAAACACATTTGGTCAGGGGAATAAAATGTTACCTCTAAGTTTATTTTATCCAAATTAATATAATTGCTGGGATCATTTACAGCCTTATTCTCTATACTCCATATCTAATCAACAGAAAAAGTTTTACAGTTTACATTTGTGACATATTAGTTACTAATTAAAAACCAGATGTTAATGCTCATTTTCATACCATAAAATCTTCTGGTTTTTGTCCTCAATAAACCTCTGTATTTGGGGTTTTTGGTTTTTGGTTGGTCAGGGCTTGTGTTTTGTTTGTTTGTGGGTTTTTATTGTTTTTGTTATTGTGCATGGGGTTTTTTAAGTAAGTCTCTTATACCCAGAGCACTAGATTCATATTTAGGCTTAAGGCCCATCCACCTCAGTGGGTCTCAATGGGATTTTTGCCTCAGGTATGACTAGAAGATGCAGACCTGATGTTCATGTGTTTTGACAAAAACATCTTCACACATTTTGAGTTCTTCAGTGCTGACAGTATTGATATTTTTTTCCTGCATCCAACCAACTCAGTGCATTGAATATTTAATAATACAGGTGATATGAGGACTCGTTGTCTGACTCATGTAAATAACACAGTAATTTAAACCAAATCTTCCTTTTCTACAGTGTATGCAATGCTAAATTAATATACTCTCTCTCAAAAAATCCCATAAACATTGCCAGTAATATAAAAGAAACTAGAATAAACTGGACATTTGGGGAAAAAGAACCAATTGTTCAATTGTAGAATATTTTGCTGCCACCTTTTGGAATTTAATAAAATGTGCATCTCAGTAGTTTGTAACAGGGATATATAATTTAGCCCTCAACAGCAATCACTAACTTCATTAGAGAAAGAATATATGCATTTCTTCTTTCTTCCTTTTAAAAACTATGTTGAGTTTCACCTTTCACCTTCACAGAGAGATGGAACAGCACAGATTCAAATTTAACATTTTCACATGTGAAGAACACATAGCAAAAAAATGTGTGCATCAAGCATAACTCTCAACAAATGCCATGATCAGTCAGCAGATCAAGCATTATTTAGCCATAAATATAGGTAAACAAAGAAAGCAGCTGCTTACAGATGATACGTAAATATCAATTAATCACTGGCAAATAATCGTTAGTTTAAATCCAAGGTTACTTGTTAGAACTCAGGGCCTCTTTCCCCCAGGTGCATTGTGACCTTTGCAAAACTGCATTGCTTTTAAAATATAATTCTATATAAATAAACAAGAGGAAAACAAGTCCTAAGGCTCTGGGCTCTGTCCCACATATCCACTCCCTGTTACTGTCAGAGAGATTTTCTTCTGCACAACTTACAAAAATGCAATGCATTTTGGGGAACGTTAATATAAATAAATGTAACACCAGTGTAGAGAGCATGTCAGAAGTTCTTTGTTATCACTAAGACAACTGGAGCACTAGTCTTATTTTAGAAAGGTGAGATCAGAAGCATTTTCAACAGGAAGAAGAACAGAAATGCCTGTACCTGTAAATAGTCCTGAAGAGGACAGCTTTCCTTTGATGCATGGGATTGGTGTTCCCAGAGCACCCCTGGATTCAGGTGCCTTCATCGTGGCCCACACAGGGGACAGATTAATGACCTCCAGGACACCAGATGACCTCTAGGACACCTCTAGGACACTTCTAGGTGCCTCTGCAGGAACGTGTGCTGCTTGGCAAGGTGTCTGGTCACTGGGGGGGCTGGTGCTCGCCAGGTGGATCGCACAACCACTCTTTGGGGAAATAAAAATTGGAGTATTAGGATGTGTAAGCACCAGGTGATTTATTTCTATGCTACTGTAATTTATCCATGCCTAAAATCTGATTTAAACTAACAGGTGCTATGAGATCCGTATTGCAGAAAGCACTAAAATGAGTATGTGTCTTTCGGAAAGTGCTCACATCCCAAGTAGGAAGGTTTTCGACAATTACCTGATTGCAGGAGTGGGGCTGACGAACGTGTGTCAGCCCTGGTACGAGTGTCATGGATGTATGGATGCGCTCCTTGTGGGAACGGGGTTATTTGCAGGATTAGGGACATCGATAATGAATCCTAGCAGAGTAAGGCATCGGTAATAAATCCTGGCAGCGAGGCTTAGGCCCGGCTGAGGAAGTGGCGCTGCCGCGACGTGAGGCGATTCCCGACTCACGAAGGCGATCGCCAGCGCGGCCGTTGCCGGGAGACCGGCCGGGTTCGGCCCGCGGCTCTTGCCCGGAGCTCCTTCCCAGGGCTCTCCGCCGGGGATTTTTCCCGAGGCTCTTTGCCAGGGCTCTCGGAGGACTCGGCGGTGGCCGCGGTCGCTGCGAGGCGGCAGCGAGACACCTCCGCCATGGCGGGCGGAGGCACTGCCGACTGCGGGCTGCAGGTGAGCGGCGGCGGCCGGGGCAGGGCAGGAGCAGGGGCAGGGGAAAGGCGACGCTGGGGAACGGGGCCTGTGAGCATTGGGAATACGTTAATTCGCAGTTACAGGCAGCACATGCACAAAAATCGGCGTTGCTCAGGAAATGGAAGCGGGCAAGCAGGCTGCCCGCGGTGAGGACACCGATGGAGCTGTGCCCCGTGCGAGGCTGGGAGCAGCCCGGCTGCCCCGGCCCTGACAGCCGGGCTGGAGGAGCAGCCCCGCCACCAGCAGGAGCCTCGGGAGGCGCCTGACGAGCCACTGCTCCTCGTATTTTGTGGGTCAGGGTCCGCAGTCCGGAGATACTGGTGCATTTCTGTGTTTACAAACACATCTGATGTGTTTACAGTCTGTAATTAAGGCCAGAGCCCCTCAGAATCATGTAAATGTATTGTGTCCGTGATGACCTGCAGCAGAGTTCAAAATATGTGAAGTTCTTCTATTGGTTTGGACCTGCCACCTGCTTCAGGTCCTGTCGTGTGGCACCTGCTGTCATAGACCCTCCTCTTGTGCTCTTCCCGATCAAAACATACAAAAGAGGCGGAGTGTCACATGATGATGCTTCCTAAGTGCCCAAAAATGGAAAAGGGATTTGCAAGATATGTTTCTTATGAAGAAGAAATATAAATAAATACATGGAGGTTTGGAGACTTTGTATTTGATGCAGATATGTTAGGGGAATTGAGATAGAATGGATACACTATGCTTCAGTATAATTGTCAATTAAATGGGCTTATCTCTGTTGTTCAGTTTTACTTACGTATATGTGGGAGGGGAGAATTAGTGCTGAACTTGAACAAGTGAATCGTCCCTTTTGTGTAAAAATTATTTGTGATGCCATTTCAGGATGAGCTACAGGAAGCAATTTCTGATTATGCAACAAGCAAGGAAAAAGATGAATATCCAGATGACTTTGAAAGTGATGAAGATGGCATGTTAAACGGTAAAACAAAATTAAATATTTTTCCTTGTGTTCTTCCTTTCGTAACTCATTACTAGATCCTAGACAATCTTTATGTGTCAGTATGATTTAGTGTTCCAAGATTTCATTTTTTAGCAACTTCTAAAGCATTGTCCTCCTCTGCCAAGTTAGCAGCAGAATTCCCAATGAAATCAGTGGAGGTGCCAGCATGCTATACCACAGAGTCTATACTGGTCCCTACCATTGTGGTCCCCAGTTCTCCTCCCTAGCCGTCTTGTTTACTTGGCACCTGGATGAGACAGTAGTGCACAGTACTGTAAATGAAAGTGGGCATGGGTAGAGAGAAAGGCAGGGTTTTTTTCTTACTGGTTTCCCAGTCTGAACAGTTGGTGAATAAGGGCTGCAGGACAGACTTCCCTGGCAGACTACATAAACCAGAAATAAGTTTGATCTGACTGCCTTCTTGGAGCAGGATGTAATTGATGTTTGCTAATGTTTATGCTTAGTCTAACAAGATAGGCCAAATGACTCTTCCTGCTGGTATGGCACTAAATGTTAAGGGAAGTAGGAATATTGAATGCAATAATGTATTTTTAAAAGGACTTTCTCTGTGGCCTGTTTTTCATTCTCATCTGAAACATCTTTTAACAGCTTGTAGGATGCTTTGATTTCCCTTTGTAGACAAGCATTAGGAGAAAAAGCTCTCTAGCAATAAATGCATTACGCTACTACCATGACATTGTTTTGTCACCTTGCTCAAGCATTTGAGCTCCAAAATTAGGTCAATTAGCAATAACAGGCTAGAGGAATAAATATTTTTGGTAAACGTTTTGGTGAACCTTGGCATTGTAGAAGATACTTCCTTTGAGTATCTTCTGGAAGACTTTAAATGGGGCAGAAGTGAAGAGAAAGGAAGGGAAGATGTGTTCTAATACCAAACATGCTCAGCTTTGTTGTTGATGACTTGCTTCCACTTTCTATAGCTTTGAGACTTTTTTTCAGAAGGACTTTAAATTGCATGGCAGAAAATGATTAATGAGTGAATATTTTTCTTTGGATTGGGTCCATGAAAATAGATGACAGGAAAGGAAGTAGAATAAGGCTGTAGTTTGGCGGCTTTGGAGAGATCAGAGGCACAGAAAGAGAAATGCTCAGAAACTTAAATCGGGAAGGTGGTACATGAAAAAATATTGTTAAGTTATAGAAGATACAGGTTCTGTGTTGCATTTTTTCCCACTTGTATCAAATAAGCAAATAAAAGTTGGTAATGTGCTCTTTGCAGGTATTGGGAAAGAAGTTGCTGAAAGTAATTCAGGTTCTACAAGCACTGGGAGATCTGTTGCTGGGAGTCCTCTCTTGAATGATGATGCTTTACAAAAGGCAGTAGATTTGGAAAAAGAAGATGCTGATGACTTGAGTTTATCCTTTCATGAAAAGAAGCTTCAGCAAATAATGGTTTTAGAAGGTGAGCACATAGAGAATCACAGAAAAGATGGCGAAGAAGGATGTTTGGAAGGTCAAAATGAGGATAATGACAGAAAAAATAATGAAGAAATACTGCAGAATAATAGTGAAAGTAATTACTTGCCTATTAACAAACTACATTAAAAAAATCAAAAGGAAAACCAACGAAAAGCAATGTCTCAGATGCATAAAAAAGGAAATGTGAAGGTGAAAAGAAAGTATTTTAATGTTGTTGCTGCTTAGCCATTTTACAGTATTTTGAAGTGTTTTAATTTGGGTTATTTCTGTGTTAATAATCATGTGCTTTAGCTCACAGCCAAAGCTTCTAAAGATACACAAACTCTGTATGCCAGGGCGTAAACTGAATCAGTGTGGGCCAAAAGCAGGAGGTTCCTGTTTGCCTTTTCCTTTCAGAAGATGAAAAACAGCTGTTTAGGTCCCTGAAGTCCAGCCCTCCATTAGTGTATGTGCATGGAAGGCCATGGGGGTTGCCAAGATGCCTCCTCAGTGTGTGCATGGCACAGAAAGCTGTATTCACATAGTATGCACTGACACAGTTTGGATGTATAGTCAAACACATAACCCCCCCAAACTTGAATGCTTCAGTGTAAGAATAGCTAATTCATTTTTAATATGCAATGCAGAATTTGAAATTCTGCTAATCAGCTATATGTGTCAAAAGACTTACTATTTTTTATGGAATTCTTAATATGAGAGGAGTTGTCCTGTTTGATGTTGAGATAAGTTTATGGCTGGTCATTACCTGTGCTGGGTGATTGCATCTTTGAAATTGGTAGAGCATGGTTAAAGGTATCAGCTTCATTTTTCCTTTCCACATGGTGGCACCAAAGTGCCACCAAAGGTATTTGAATGTGCAGACACCTTCCTGGCTGGTGTGCCTGTGTAGTTTTAGACTGGCAGAAAAGAAGCTGAAATACTCAATTTCTTCATGTGAATCAAAGTAGTGCAGTGACACACTGCAATATTGGTTAAAATTCAGTAAACTCAGAATTCTTGTCACCTTGAACATACCTTTATCACTGTAAATTTAGGGTAAATTTCTTTGATTATGGGCATTGGTGTTCCTCTTTTCAAATAATTTGGAGTTAATTTGTCATCCAAAAAATCTATTTTTCTAAAGAATCCCTTGAGAAATTTGTAAATTATTTGTGATTTGGTTTTACTCAGGCATTTTTTGGTTTCTGTCTGAGTTGTTTTACAAATTTAGATCTCTGCATTACTGGCAGTTGAAATCTGATGAAAATGGTTCTTAAGTCTTATTAGTAATGTGTTTCATAAACGTATTCACTGTTTAGGCATACATTGAGATTGAGGTGATCTCTTTAAATCCTCACTGTGGAATTTTTCATTTATTCCCTCATGTGTCCCACCCCCCTGAAGAGCCCTCCACAATGAAAGCAGTATTTGTTACCCAGAGGGTTAACTGGCATACTTCATTAGAAATCTGCCAGATGTCAGAAGAGCTCTTGCTGTGACTGCAATGACTCTTGCTTTTCGTTTCTGCACTAGAGCCATGTAAGGCAGATGGAAAGTTTTCCCTTTGTCTTGCTCTTACCTTCTCTAACATTAGTTCAAGCTTCAGCTGCTACTCCAGTCTTACATGAAAATAGAAGTGAATATTGCTCTTATTTGTATATAGTTCTTAGAAAGAGGCATACAGAAAGTACGTTATACTATATAAAATTTAGTAACAACTTTCATAGATGGGTGGTTTTTCTAGAACTACATTTTGTACAGAAAAAACAATACTCAAAAACAATGAAGTTCTTGTTAATCTGTCCTCTCAATCTTTTTTCTCCCTTTAGATCAAGATCAGAAGACTGTCAGTGACTTGAAACTGAAGGACAATGGTAGGAAATCCCCTTCTGTTGACAGTTCAGATGGAATGATGAAAATAACAGAAGAGCAAAAAATAGCTGATACAATGCAGGAGGTGTCAGTGAATGATCAGTCTGAGCATGGGGAGGCAAAAAACACATCCAAGAACTCTGTCAAGGTATTGCTCGTACACAGTATACCGTTGTTTGGAACAATGTCCTAGAAACACAATGGAGAGTTTTGTAAAGTTTCTGTTGGAATCTTAAGTGTGTAGAACACTGTGTGTATAGCTGACAACTTATATCTGGCTTAGAGCTGAGGCTCTTATAAATTCTGTATAGCTTTATGAAAGATGTAAGGAATACCTTTTCCACAAATTATTGAAGTCAGATAAAGGTATTGAAATGTGTTTTTCAGCCGTAAGAAAGTACCTTTCTCAAAGTGATAATGTCAAATATCTGTTGTGAGGATAGCTGAATAGCAGTGAGCAGTGTGTGTTGGCAGAGGATGGGGTCCATGTGTGACCTGAATAATGGATAGGATGTAAAGCACTCTATTCTTTATCCTAAAAAGACTTCAGCTACATGTAATTATTAAAGCTAAGTATTCAAAAGATTTAAAAGAGTGTTTATAGAATAAACCATCCATGTTCTTTTTACTTTTTATTATTTCTAAACTATTTACTGTATTTTTGCGTAATAAAAATGAACATTCCTAGCTGCCATTCCAAAATGATACAGGCATTCTGAAAGGTTGGTTGGTTGGTTGGTTGGTTTGGGGGCTTTCTTTGTCTGTTTTTTTTGTTTGTTTGTTTGTTTTTTTCTCTCCTTACTTTCTTATCCTGTACTATACCCTCTCTTTATTAGGGTCTCTTTCTTGCCTGTTTTTGTAACTTCATGTGGCCATGGAATATCTTGACTTAGAAGGGACTCATAAGGGCTGAATCCAGTTCTCAGTGTCCTTGTTATCTTGTAAAAACCCATTTCATCCTGATCTGTTGCTTAAGAGACTCTATAACTTTACTTTTCCCCTGTGTTTCTTAGAAACTAAGTGAAACAAAGGAGAGAGTTCTCCAAAACCCACAGGCTTCATTATCTGACAGGTAAGAGAGGAGTGACAAGCATTGTTCTGAGCCATTTAAGATGCCTGTGAGTGCCCCGAAAATGCTGCTCCCCCCTCTTATTTTCTGTCAGCATTGTCTTTGCTGCTGACAACCTCTGACCATCTGTGGAAAACAGTTTAGTGCATGTAGCATGTTGTTACGACCCTTGCTCCGGTTAGGTCAGATCAGACTCCCAGATCTTTTGCCAGTGTGTGTGATGAGTGTGTTACTGGGGTCTTTACAGGCTCTAAGCTGTTTCTTAGATGAAAGTGTAAGTAATTTGTAAATTTACAAGAGGTAAGTTCTTTCTCCTTTTCCTTTCCCCAGTCCCCAGTCAAGTGCATATTAAAAAAAAAAAAATCACAGTAACTTTGAGTATGCACTGAAATAAGAGGAACACTACTCATACCCAGCTCATACTACTGTATGAGCTGCAGTAAAAGGAAAGGTCATTAATTTATTTGTGTCCTGGTATTTTCCTAGGTCTACAACTTTTGTGCATTTAAAGAGAAAGGGGAAAGCTGTTCCATCAACTTCACCTGTTTCATCTCAGTATCTGGGATCTTTGAAGGTGTTGGAGGATAAATGCGTGCAGAAGAAAAGTCCAGAATTCAACAAAGTAGATGATTTAAGGGCAGCTGTTTATCAGGTAGATTTTAAAAATGAATGAACAAACAAACAAAATTTTGCATATAAAGGTCCTGATACAGGGGTCAAGACCTCAGATTTTCTTGAAATCAATATTTTTTGCTATATTTCTTTTATTGCCTTACAAGTATAGAAATCTTTTTATTCTGTTGGCTATGCCTTTTCCTCATATTATGAACAAAAAGCTCAATGAAAGGGACATACTTTTTTTATGTGGTTTATAAATAATTTATTGTTTCAGACTATTTTCAGGCACATATTTTCCATTATTTCTACTTCATCCTTAACATAAGTAAGTGTCTACTTACAGTTGTTTGGTTTTTTTCCCTGATATGTTCTATTCAAATGGCGTTCAGGAAAAGTTATAACAAATCCTAAACTTTTTCCAGAAGAATAATATATATAAATTCCTTGTAGAATTTCACAATTATTTTCTGGGTTTAAACAAATTTCTGCTAATCTGTTTGAGAACAACTCTCATTAACAGGCACCGTTTATATTGGTATGTGTTTTTAATACTTGTTATGGTCCTAAAACAAATTTTAGACCCTCAAATCCATATTTATATTGTCTCCACAGTTTTTGAAGCTAGAATAGTCTTCATTTAGGACACTGTTGTTTTTGAGCTGTATACCATATACACAGTTAATTCTTAAAAATTTAAGCCTGATTCTGCAGATGGCTTATAACCTTTTACGGCTGCCTGAAGTCTCACTTTTCCCAGCAGGATTTTATTCTCTTTAATTGTATGTATTTTCAAGAGAGACAACAAATGTAAACAGTATTCCTATATACCAGGTAATGAGAACCTTTATTACATTCCTCTATTTAATTTTGATTAATGCTGACATTTTTGTTGGTGTTTCTAGGAAGATGCTTTTTAAAAGATCTTTGAGCTTTTTAAGATTTTGTAGCTGTGATTTTAGAACCTTAAATTTTTTTGGTCAAAATGTTCATGTGATGACATCATAATTTTCCACATGGGATGCTTATTTAACTAGCACGTGGAAAAACTGAGAGTAATTTTGGTGGTCATTATATTGGTGCTGTTCTTTACTTATACCTTAAAAGGACTTTAAAAATATTTTAATGATTCTTACAGAACTGGTTGGAAAGGAAAAAGCTCCTTCTAATGGAATTAAAGAGAAGTGAAAAGGAAAAAGCTGAAATTCTAAGAAGCAATACTGAAAAGGTTTGTTTACATTGTTGTTTTAAAAGAAGTTGACCAGCTATGACTCTTTGAAGTGTTCTTGCTGCCTAAGTGCATTCCTCTGCTGCTGTAAGGTATCTGGTTTTCTCCAAATAGCACCAGGTGATGTGAATCAATGAATGGCAAGTCCTTCTTGTTAGGGCAGTGTCCGTCCAATCTTTCCCTACACATTTACATAAGGTGTGCTACAAATGTACTTCCTAGGTTAATTTTCGAGTTAATTTACAAAGACCTTGGGATGCTCAGCTCTTAAGGTGCTAAGTTTTGTTTTGTGCATGAGAGCATGCATTCACTCCTTGCCTCAAGAGACTCTTACCTAGACAGGGCTCTGGCTTGAATAGTATCATGCACAATCTTTGATTTGGCTTTTAACTATTTAATATGTTTCACTTCTAAGCACTTGCATTTCATATCCTTCTACACATATTTTGTGGGAGCAGTTAGTCTCATTCAAGTAAATTAAAAATGGGCATAGAAAATAGCTCTGTATATGCTTAAAATTTAATTGTAATACTTGCAATGTTGTCAGCAAATCAATATCTGTTTCTTTATTGCTCCATTTAGCAATAAGTGTAAAGCTTATTATTTCACTTAGAATTTTATACTGAAATGGATTTAAATGTAGACTTTTGTTTCCAATCTAGAAAGAAGCACTTAAAAGGGAAGAATCAATTGCATGTTACGAAGCCTGGAAAAAAAAGAAAGAGAAAGAAGCAAGGAAGTTAAACGAAAAAAAAAAGCTTGAGGAACTTGAGGAAAAGAAACCAGCAGAACAGAATAAGGAAAAAACAGAAGCAGCACAAGCGGTGATGTGAAATATGTACCTAAGTGTGTATTTGAATGTGGTTCAAGAGATAGTAAAAATATTTTTGATTAATCCAGAAGGAGATGGAAATGAACTAGAATTTTTAATCTAGACATGCTTAGTTTTTGAAGAAATCTTGTATTAGGTTTTGTTCTGTAAGAAATATGTGGTTTATATACTTGCAGACAAACAGGATTCTATATTTGGAGTCTATTAACTGAGCATAAAATAAACTTAATACAAATACATTAGCAATTAACTATTACCTACTGGAAAAATAAGATTATTTTTAGGTATAGTGATACCCACTTCTGAGCAATTCCACAAGCAAATACTCTGAAATTAGAATGTGTAGAAATTACAAAAAATAATAATGCAGATTAGACTAGTGGAGTATTGACAGAAAGGTGAGAAGTAAGATTTTTCATGGATCTGTGGTTGTCTTTAGGCATTCAAAAAATGGAAAGAAAGAAAAGTGGAATATTTAAGAGAGCAAAGCAGGAAGGAAAAACAGACTGAAAGAATGAGGAAGAAGATAGAAGAGGATCTAGTTGCAGAGAAGAGGAGAGTCAGTGTATCAGCAGTTGAAAAATGGTACTTCTCCACTGTGTTTGCTATATCATAGCTTCCAAAATCCTTGCTTAAAAATGTAATAGGTCTTCTGTGAAAACTTGATGTGCTTGTAATTGGAAGAAAATGGAATGCTTGGGATCAGACTCTTCATTCCCAATGGAGACAAAGTCTAGCAGTGCAAACCAGCTGTGCAGCTCCCTTCAGTTTATTAATTTAGTTGCTTTCCTCTCCAAGAGGATATTGACTAAGCCCAGGCAGAGATAATGCAATGATAAAATTCATTGAGTAGTAGTATGGTTATTCTTATGCTTCATTACTAAGCCATAGGAAGGAAGGTATGTCTTTAAAGTTTCATGGAATACAATGTAGGAATGCAGATGCAGAAAGAAGGAAATGAGATGTATCTGCTGGAGATACTCTATATTAGTTTTTACAAGCCAAGAATTTTCACAGACAATGCACAAATCACATTTACGTACAGAAGTTCAGAATGTTTTCGTTTTTGTTATATTAAATAAGGGAGAAAAAAGTACAGAAAAGGTGATGCCATAATAGATAGAGTAGTAAATTGATTTATACCTTGGTGACATATAAAAATGGACATGGAGGATTTTAAATACATATTCTCAATCTTTTATTTAAAGTGTTAAATACATATTTTGTCTCAATTTACTTAATTGGTCACAGATGCAGCTTTTGCTCTGTACACAATGACCTCTTGCTCTGCCCTCTCACTATGCAGGAATGAAAAGAAGGAAGAATATATAAAAAAGAAGAAAGTAGAAAAGTTCATAGAGAAAAGAAAGCGAGAAATGCAACAGGCAAAGAAGGAAGAAAAAAGTGAAAAGGCTATGGAGGAGTATGAAAGATGGCTGGTATGTGTGTTGGGTTTGTGGGGTTTTTTTTTCCTTTTGTCAAAGCCAAAACATTTGATGTAGTGTGAGCACTTGAGTATTGTAATACTCGTGGGGTGTTGTGCTGTTATGAGACCAGACGGTGGCAACATTACATCACTTGTCTCCCTTCAGTGTGAGCAAAATGTTGCTAAAGTACAGTGCACTTGATATTGGGCATACATGGAAAATATATTCTCCCTACTTACATGTCATAGAGTTTTCAGTTTTCATCAGGCTTAATTTTTTGCTATTCCATATCAGGAGCAACAATCTCTGAAGGGCCAATTAGCCAGAGCACAAAACTGCTGCAAAGTCAAACAGCATTGCCAGCTGCAACAGTCAGTGCATGTACGTTCAAGGAAGCGTTGAAAATGGAGACTTGGAGAGATCACAGTTGATAAAAGCACTTGTAATGAGGTTCTGGATGATTTCCATTTGCATGAAAGGGTGGAACTCTGATGCTCCCAATTATGTTTTTCTCACAGCAGTGTCCCTGTTGTAAAGCAGGAAATTAATCCAGTGCTCTAGTCCCAACAATAAGGCAGGTTATTTTTCCTTGCTGCAGAAAGACAAACTAGAAGAGAGATCACTAATATTCTTAGCATGTTGTTTTCTTAAAGGTATGTGACTTGCCAGTTAAAGAAGAATCTGTTTTCATTCCCGACCCTGTGACACAGTCTTTCTTCATAATGACTGTCAAGGTTTTTTTAGTTAGAAAGTGTTTCTTCTGTTGTCTCTCTTCCATGTAATTTCTGGCATGCCTTGAACATATGGTCTCTGTTGCCATTTTTAAGAATGGGATCTTGCAATCCAGCTGGATTATGGTCCTTAGAGGAATTCTTTAGTGTCAATAGCTTAAATCTTTTCTTTTCTTTTCTTTTCTTTTCTTTTCTTTTCTTTTCTTTTCTTTTCTTTTCTTTTCTTTTCTTTTCTTTTCTTTTCTTTTCTTTTCTTCCTTTCTGTTGTTGTTGTTAGGAGGGAGAGGCATATAGAAGAAAACTGAGTCAGCTAGCTGTACAGGTGTGAGATAGGTTTGGAGAGGATTTAGAGAGAATAATCATCCTTTACTTGGCTAACTCAGAAATACACAATTGCACAAAACAGCGAGAGCCTGCATGTTTTCTCTTCTCTCTGCTTCCAAACATTTTTAGTCTTAAGTTTAGATCTTTTAAGATGTTTGACCTAGTCCCCTGTTGAAATACCTCTCATTTCTGTAATCACTGATAAGAAGGTTTTTTTCTGGTCCCCATTGTCAAGAGATTTTCAGCTCAGTTTAGCAAATGATTAATGTCTGATCTTAGGTTATTTCTTGCTTGGTTAATATTCCTGATTGCCAAGGTAGGGAGTACTGTGCTTTGAGCAGTAACTAATGCTCTGCTCACTGAGACTATCCTAATCAGCTTAGTTGTACCAAAGAAAGAATGTTACTTCTCATTGTACATTTGACTTTCTTGCCGTCCTGGACTCTGTATGAAGGTAAAAAAATTACCCCGGTTCTTGGGAGTGAAAGATGCTGCCTAGCACAGACTCTCCCATTCAAATTGTGTGTGAATTCCTGAGGTTATCACTTCAGTGGGATTATTAATGAAAATTTTAGTAGTTGGTGGAATGACCAGATCTAACTAGATATACATGTGCCTACATGGGAAATAAGCAAGTATAGGATAGGATAAGTACTGAACTGGTTGGCAGAGGTATCTCTAAAATGACCCCATTTCCAGTGTCTGTGTGCAAGTGTTGATTGATGTGTCTCGTGTCCAGTCTTCACATTTTTGCTTTCAGAATTTCTGCTATCTTTTTGCAACTTACACACCTTTATTTGAGAAAGTATATTGGGAAATGGCTCTGTTATCATTTTTGGCCAGAATATTGCCTCACTTTGTACAGTTACAGAAAAGATACAGACCATTAGTGAACTGCAGGAGAGAAACACTGTAAGGTTGTCATTGTATTACCAAGGAAACTGAGGTGACATCTGCCTGCAGGTAGATAGGCATCAGATCTGAGGGCAGAATTTGGAAGGCTTTTAAAAGTATTCTTTCAACAAAAAATATTTTTTAAGGGAAATAAAATAGTAGTGATAGAGTGGGAAGTACTCTAACATGTTTTCATTAACATTCACCAGAAAGAAATGCGTACATTCATCCTCAGCTTTCCTGAAGCAGGTGTTGACCATAATGCATAGATAAAGCAGACATAAAAACCTCATTGTAGTTCTTCTAAAATAGAAGAAACATTCTGCTTTTATGTTAATGGCAATTCTGTTACTTCTGCTTTTAGAGGTCATTGTGTGAATGTTTGATAGCATAAGAGCATAGAGAAGATTACTTTTTAAGCCTGGAAATAAATGCCCTGGAAAAGGCTATTAACACTTGTAAAATACTGGCATGAAAAGGATAACCTTGAGGTGAGATGCTTTAGTATTGCCTGGAAATTCAAGCTTCTGATTATTTTGTTTCTTCCTATCATTTGCTTCTTGCTGCTCACCAAGAACTCTTCAAGCCAATCTATCTTGATAAGTGATGATTTTTTACTTACTGCATAATACCAGTGTCTGACACTTGTCATTGGCATGTACCTGTTGTGAGGAGTGGAATGAGGACAAGAATCACATAGAAAGTTTATAATGACAGATCAGTTTAGTTTCCATTATTTCTGTGATACTAATCTTGATAACTGTTTACTGTGGATAGAAGTGAGTGTCATCTCTAGATAAGTTATTGTTGTCCATTTTCTGTGATAAACATCAACCTACCATGAGCTTCTGAGAAGTAAGGCTGCTCTCAAATAGTTCTCGAAGACCAGCATAGTAATGTTGAAAGCCTTAGAAGAAGTTTGACATTTTACCTTGAATTTGAGCATGTGCAATATCTATTTTTGGCATTCTAAAGCTGTTTAAAAACATCATGAAAGGATATACTGGATAAGTCCCATGGATTTGTTACTTTTCGGGGTTAGAAATAGCTGAAGTGGGTTGTCAGTTTTATGTATTCATTAATTTCATGAGATCTCTCTGAAAATTCTTTCTAAATTGCAATTTTCATGGCCTGTCATTGCAGTAGGTTAGAAATAAGACTGCTATTGTTACTCCTCTTAAATGTTGTCAGTCTTCTGTAATAACTAAAATTCAATTTCTGTGTGGCAGTCGTACTGCTAAAGAATGTGCTCTTCCCAGAATTTCATAAATGAAAAATATAGTCATCTTGCTAGGCTATTGAGTAGGAAACTTCCACATAAATCAAGCCATACAGTTGACTTGATCTGTGTAAGACAAGGTACAGTTATTGATTTAACCTTTCACTGTTTCTGTTACTCTACTCAATTAGTGCAAATGCCATCTTGATTATTATTCTGTAGAATATTTATATCAGTTATGTCTTGTGGGAATTTGCACTGTAGTTACAAGAAGAACATAAAAACTTTGTGTGTGTTGAGGACAGGGAGGATGCCAGTAGATCTTCACTTTGAATTTAATCTTTTAAAAACAGTTAAATTAACTTAAGACTCTTTCCTTGCCTAGGATTCATTAATGCAAATTGGATGTCAAACTCAAACATTCAAAACTGAAGCACAGTTAAAAAATCCAGAGCAACTTTTGTTCCTTTTTTGTGTGGGTGTATGCTTTATTTTTGGTTGTGGTTTTTCATACTTGTGTCTGTGGTGTAACATCTATTCAGTAGAGAGTGCTTGATAAACATAAAGTATGCACATTTCTTTGTAGCATGCAATAGTGCTGCAATAAGCGTTACTTTTAATGAGTTTTCACTTACCTGTCCTGATGGTATACATATCTTTGTACAATATAATTCTATGATTATAGATACAGGAGCATGTATCATATATGTATTCCATTAGAGTGTATTCTTCCCAAGCTCATCTGTACTGCTTCACATATCTTTTTTTGAAAAATATCACTTACAATGCAGGCTACTTTTCTCTTAAACAGTTCCATTGAAGAGTTCTAGAATATCTTGAATTTGTTGTAGACCCAAAGCCACTAGTTGTGTTCATCTGATGAAATCTCTGTGGAAGGAGAAAGAAGACAAAATTGAGGGATGAGAAGAGTCAGTATGTCACAGTGCTGCAGGGCTAGTTTGTTTCAATTACTCCATTTGATCAGAACGATACAGTTTTTACAGAGAGATAATATTTTTTGTTAGACTGTGATGAACTTTTGTATTGCTTATTTTAGGAAAGGGCATTCCTTTTCCATGCAAACCTTGCCTTGCTTTTAATCAGCCTTATTAGTAATGACATGAAATTATTGTGAGTTTGTTTAGCCAGACCAGATGTTTCTAACTGAATTGGATCTTCAGGTTTATGTTGACAAAGAGCTGAAGGGCACAGATTAAAATCATATTGATAGGGTTGATATTTCAGTGTGTTGCTTTGCTTTCTACAATTTTTGGACACGTATATGTGTAAAACAGGAGAAAACTTCACTCAAGCTCTCTTTCTTAAAGTAATGCTTCCACACCCCTTTTTCAGTCTACTTCAGCCACAGTTACCTCACTATTGCCCTGCTCACGTATGAGTAACAGGCAAACACTGCCAGCATCTTGGGAGTTTGTGGATATATGGTGTCCATCAGAGGAATAGGATCATGGGTTATATGACAGTACCAGTTATCTTGCAGCTGTTCTCAAGGACCCGTACTTCCACCGCAGTGCAGATCATACATGTAAAAATACTAAACTATGGATGCTTCACAGTGCTGGCTGATGGGCTGCAAATGATGAAGGAACCAGGGCTGGATGTGGCACAGCTGATGATGGTTTTAAGTGGGCATATCCACATTGCATCCTTACTACCAGAGTTGTGTTTGCCTGTTGTTGGTCTTAGGAATGAATGTACTGTTCATGTGTGAGAAAGGCAGCTGCTCAAGGACCTCTTATCCACCCATCACAGGGGACACTGTAAATTGTGCTGTGGTCTGTATGGCCAACCTTGGTTCCACCAAGAAAAAAACTACTTTTAACTCAGTAAGAAATGTGCACCCATATGCACCACAAGCCTGCAAGGAAAACTTGCGCCCACAGAGAGCTCGCCAGTGCACTAAACTGCTAATGCAGGTGCACCTTTAAATGCTGGTCCTCTTGAGGGTGAAATGGCAGTCATCTTTGCAAAGGAGAATGCTTACATAGAATAGAACTGATTAGAAATTCAAAAATAATTATAAATAATTGCAACTTAATTTTTGAATGGCAGGTCTCTTGAAAGTCATTAGTTAATGAGACACAAAAAGAGTGTTGCAAGTATCTTGCAACCCTCATCATCCTAATTGCACTATTGCTGTTTGAAACAATAGAAAATAGAATTAGAACCTTGCATTGCTTATAACATAAGTTAGATAGATCTTTGTTTAAAATTAAATTGTTTAATTACCAATTTGTTCTAGTACATGGCAAGTGTGATTTAATAAGTGCAGAAAGTTACAATGATGCATCAATGTTCTCATTATATGAGAAAAACATATTTTGCATTGTGATTTAGGTATCCTCTTAAAGACAAGAAGCAATTAATATGAGACTAATTACATACAAGACCAATAGGCCAGTAAGGCCTAATCCAGTAGGCCTTCTGTTGGGCTTTTTGTTTAGACAGTGCACAAACCCAGCCCATCCTTGAGACAGTCATCCTAATTGTAAGTGACACCCAATGTGCAGCCTTTTGTGTTGCATTTTGCAGTGTCTGTGACTGAACCTCTAAAAGGGATGTGCCAAGCTCCAAAAGGCAAATTTCTATTGCATGTTTTCTTTTCATTTTACACAAGAATAGGATAGTAATAATGTAACTTTTCTGTTAGTAGAATTGCTGTTGAGCGGCAGGGCGGTGGTTTTGGTTTGGGCTTTTTTTCACACATCTTTTTATTCTCAGGAAAACAAAATGAGGAGAGAACAGCTTGAGAAGTACCAGAAGAAGATGCAGGCTGTCCATGGGAATGAAATGAGTCCTCCCTGGAGACCACCTGGCAAAGTCACATATTCTAGTAATTACTAAGCAGTTTATTGCCTTCCTGAAGAACAGATAGTTTACAAAGTTCTCTCAATAGCTAGTAGCTCTTCTGTTATCAGCTGATTTCCGCTGAAGCCATTATAGGTGTTAAATTATTTCTTTTTAGTTTATTTGATATCTGCAGTTTAAATAAACCTGTTACTCATTTTCATTGCTTTAGAAAATGTAATATTTTTTCTAATTCCACATTTTAATTAGTTTTGCTAAATTCCATGTTATGTCATACCTTTTTGGTGAAAATTTATATCTAGGATATTTAAAGCTGGACTCTGACATTTTTTTTTTTCATCCAATAAGTGGCAGAATGGTTGTTTTTAAGTTATTAGACCACACTCTTAAGGAGTTAATATTTGAAGAAATTATGTGAAGAGGCTGTGGGGTAAGGATGATGGTAAGGAGATGTTGGCTCTCTTGTGGAGGTAGATGACAAAAGGCTAAGGAGTATGGAAGCAGAATGTCATTTTCATACATTAATTTACAAGATACAGAGAAAATATGTATTGCAGATAGGTGAGTACAGGGTTTTCAAAAGCTCCAGGTCTGGCACTGGCTGTTCCCTCATGGCAGGCCAGGCATTTTTTCCAGCGGTAGTGGAGAAAAGAGAATCTACTGCCAGCAGAAATTTTCAAGAAGCTGAGAAGATGCCCAGCCAGAGCAGCTTCAGTGGCCCACGTAAGAGACAGAGTAAAATTACAGACAGCAGCAGGAGAGATGAAGAACTGCAGCCCTGGCAGAATGCAAAAGAATTGCCAATTCAAAAGTGGCACACCTGGATTTTATGAGAAAATACTAAATGACTTCAGGCCTTCATATTGGGGTGGTCGTGTGCATCATTGGTGCTCTGGGCTTTTAACACTTGGAGCCTTGAATTTGAGTTTAGTCTGTTAAGAAACTCCAGCTATAGTATCATGGGAGGATGAAATTTGTAGCAGGCACCAGTTTATTGTACAACAGACCTGAAGTATCTGAGACAAGGCAGCCTGTGAGACAGGGATCATCTGGATCTTTATTTTTGCAATGTCCTGCCAGAGGAAGCAAGGAAGGTCCCTATGCTGACTTGAGGGGGGGAAATGAAAAGTGTGGTAGGATTAGTGGCAGAGATCGAAGAGAGTTTGTCAGGTTTCTGTTCCTGAACTGAAAGCTGCATCCTCACTGTCTTTAAGCCTTTCTATAACTGGATAGAAGGTTTTGACAGAAGACAGAAGTGAGAAGATGTGGGTGCCATCTTTCAGAGGAATGAAGAGAAGCTCACAAATTCACAACTTCTCAATTAGGAAAAGATCCTGAAGTCTGTAGACAAGGGAAAACAGTTGGCATGTTTAACTTTTATAATAAAAATTGGGGAGCTTCATTTAATGGTATATTGTAAAAATTTGCACATGTTACAGCATAACACAAATGTCATAAAAGAATTAGAGCTGAGAAATATAAACAAATGTACATTAATGTATAAGAACATACAAATATATGTATAGACCCTATCTATATGTTTATTGATGACGGAGGGAAAATATTTTGTATTAATAAAGTATATTTTAGTAATAGCCTCAATGTTTTCATTGGATTTTAGGATACAAATCTTTATTTAAAGCTTTAGTACACAGAAATTAACTAGGCAGTGTCTAAGCCCAAGCTATCATTGTTAACATAACAAGTAAATAGGGAACTGTATCCCAGTGAAGGCGAGCTTCTACAGCATTCCACCTGTCTCCTCCAGCTCTCTGACACTTGCTGATACACCAATGCAAACATTCATTTAAGGAACATAGTTTCTAAACAATAACCTAGAAGATTTTAGTATCTCTAATTTTTTTTCTAAAGTATTTGATTTAGGCATGAAGTTGCTCCATTGGTGTGGTAAGGGCACAGGCTAATGATAAATGATTTTCAATTTTCAAATGTTTCAAGTCCCTCATTCTGGGTAAGAAAAATTATATGCTGTTTTCCATTGTGTCTTTTTTTCTTTTATATTCACAAAATATGAGATCATTTTACCTGGTCTGTATATCATGGACTGCTGTGTTTCACTTGGTTAATTATGTGTTTAACTGAGTTACTTGACTCAGACTAACAGGGATAACCTTTTCTGGGCTGTGAACACCGATGGCAGCCTTGGCTGCACATCAAAAGCTGGACTTGCTCCAGTTTGTGTGCATCTTTCTTGCACTGGGGAGCCCGAAACTGAGCATGATGCTCCAGATGCTGTCTCGCTCCCAGCTGCAGTGTCACACATGCCAAACAGAGGGGAACAATCCCTTCCACCAACCTACTGAGCACACTCTTACTAATACAGCCCACAATGCCATTGGCATTCCCTGCTGTGAGAGCCCATGGCTGGCTTATGCTCTGCTGCTTCTCCTCTGGCACCCCTGGGTACTTTCCTGCTTTTTGACCACTGGGGCTCAGGCTGTACTGTTGGAATGAGGTAACTTCACCCCAGATGGAGGACTTTGTCTTTGTTGACCTTAAAGGTTCCCACCACCCTCTTCTTCCACTTCCTGGGAAACACCCTGCTTGATTGCATGGATTTAGTTAGCTGGACCTCATCCATTAAAAAAAAAAAAAAAAGGCTAAAAAGGACATTAAGCACCTCAGCTCTTTCCATGTCCTGTGTCATTAAGTCACCTGGCCCTTGAGGAGCAGAATGCCATTCTTCTTTCTGCTCATGTACTTCCAGAAGCACCTTTGAGTCCCATATGAGCTTCAACTCTTTCTGAGCTTTGGCTTTAGTAAATGCTTCCATATTTTAGTCCATGTAGAGTAAATGTCTCTGTTTTGCTCCACGGTGCAAGTACTCTCCGTCATCTCTGTGTTTGCGTACCCTCTGAACTCCAGCAGGAGAGCCTGTTCCTGCACACTGGCTGCCTGCCCCACTTGCCTGACTACACACGTGTCAGAGTGGACTTTCTTTGATGGGGATGTCAGTGAAGCTCAACTAGCATTCCTGGGTCCCTTTGCTTCCCAGGGCAGCCTCCTGTGAGATCCTGCCAAACAGATCCCTAAATAAGCCATCATCTTCCCTCCTCAAACCAAGGTTGTGGTTCTATTTCCTTTACTGCTTCTTACATGATTAAAAGTTTCACATTCTCAGGCTTAAGGCAGTCAGGAGATCATCAGCTTTCATAACCCAGACTAGTCCATTCCTGTAACCATCCATTAGCTAAGGTCAAGTACCAATCACCTCTTAGAGCATCAGCACTTCCACCTTCAGGTTTTTGCTGACCTGTTGGCTTTTAAAGAACAATTTATGAGATTTTAATAACATTTATTAGTTAGATTTTCCCCTAATGGGTAATAAAGTAATTGCAAAATTCTTGCCTAATAATTTCAGCCTGGGGCTTGGGGAAGGCTGCTCTTATTAGCAGACTGCATTCAGGCAGTTGAACTGTTTTCAACATAGCATGTTATTTTAGCACCTACACTCAGAGGAAAAGTTCTATGAAAAGTCTTTAGTACTGCAAGGTATGTTTCCATTTTACTACTATTTCCTAAATTTATAAATTCTCTTTCTCTATGATGCTTTTATTTCTGGTTAGCTTCAGACTAGAACAATTGAAAGTTTTTTCATATAATTTTTCATTTAAGGAAGCAGCAAGAACTCCCATTATATGTGAATAATTTTTCATGAATAGGAATACAAAATTAAAATACATTCATTTTCATTAATTATAAACTGGCTTGGCTGGTCCTTGATGACAGCAAGTGATAGAAGGATAACATCAGTAAATATCAGCATTTAACTGTTGTACTGCCCAGGTGGAGCATCATATTAACTGGGTTAACTTTTATTTTCCTTTGCACCTTTTAACATGATGTGATACATTGAGCACCCATTCCCATATGCTGATTTCTAACCAAACCATGAAGGAAAAACAACAGGAAAATAAATTTAGACAAAGAGGAAATATTTTATCTGTCCTCTATCTATTTCACTTTCTTGAAGAAACATCTGGAGAATCATTGCAAATAAATGATGCTTTGGGAAAAAACTTTATTAGCTACCCTGAATTCCTCTATGCTTCTTAGCCCTTCTAATACTGAAGTATAATGGGGATGTGCAGAGGTGATTTAGTACTGAGCCTAACTGTTGGACTATGTTCTTTCTTGAAATGGGAGCAAAAAGATTTTTTGCAAGAGATCAGCAAAATGAATAGCAGTGAGAAAATAAAAGCAAACAGTACTGTCATTATTCAGTTTATCATTTGTAGAAACATTAGTGGTTATGAACATGATGCTGGATACTACACAAGCAAAATGTAAAGATGACTTGCCACAGAAGGCTCCCCATCCCAGAAAACATGCAAAGAGATTTAGTCAAAAGCACAAGGAGAATGAGGAAAGCAGCATCCCTTGCTGCACAACAGCTGTTGTACAATGGCAACAGCTCCTGGCAGTTTGGTTTCACAGTCCACCAGCTACTATCCTTGCTTGCTATCTTGCCTTCAGCAGGAAAGCCAATGTGCTGATTTTCCCCTTGACTCTTCTGTTGACCATGTGGTTAAGCATCCTCTCTCTGGCTACCTTTCATTCTTGCTTAAGAGACCAAATAATTCTGTCCATTCTTGCTGTTACACAGCATTTCCAAGAGAGATCAATCTGCTCAAATGACGAATCTGCCATCAGTATTGCTGTACAATTTAAAGAATTATTATAGCATTAAACCCTAACATTCTTATTTTCCCTTAAACAGATGGTAGTGCATCGAGCTGTTAAATTTCACCCCAACAAAACTGACATTCTGTTTAAAATTTCTATTCCTCCTGAATCAATAAAATGTAGGATTACTGCACTGGAGGAAAATTCTTTGCAAAGAATGCATTTGTAACCTATCCAAAGCAAGGGCTCTTGATAATGACCCCCAATTTTCAAGGGTTTGGATCATGAAGTATCACTAGAAAGAGAGGTTATGTGCACATAAATCAGGACAATTACAGGAGGAAACAACCAGGATTAATTAACAGCAAGTGCACATTAAGTGTTTCACAAAGACCTTGCTGATTTGCAACTTCAATAGCCTTTACACTCTCCTCTTTTTGATTCACTTGCACAGTTTCTCACACAGGTATTTTTTTAATAATCCTGTGCACCATTTAGAGCACTCATAAAAGAAAGTGTGGGAAGAGTTTTTGTCTATATAAAATTCTTGCTCCCAGTCAGAGGTACATGTAGAAGTACAATTATGAAATGGGAATGGATTCAAAACATAAGTTGCTTAATAAAATTGAGCTACCAAGACTGTACCACTCAAAAGTACTGCCACGAAGGAAGGAAGTGAAGTGTGCTAGCCTGCAGTCCAGTCTCAGAACCTCTGCACTGGACACCACTGGGCCTGGTTCCCAGCTGCCATTTTCTGCACATCTTTGCCATCAGGTTTGTGGCAAAAACCCAGCAGGTTTGTGGGGCCATGCCACAGGGCTGCAATGACATCCCAAACTCTTGCACTGTCTCGCCGCTGATGGATAAAACAGAGCAAGGACAAGACTGGCCAGTGGGGTTTTGTACAGATTTCAGTCTTTCTTAGAGGCTGAATGTCCCTGTTCTGACCTGACAGTGTTTGGGAAGATGCCCTGAACAAGCTTCTGCCCACACACGCCAGAGCAGGATTTACTATGAGTAGAATGTATTATAGTCATAGCTGGCAACGCTCTGTTTTCATCAGTTTAAATATATAATTCCTTTTAAAAATGAATAAGCTGTTGCCACAATAAAATACTCAATGGGCAATAAGTGAGTCTTACTCATCTTTAGCAAAATTGGCAGCTAAGAATAAGCACACACATATTTGTGGTTTTTCTATGAGGCCTAGATTGCACTGGAATACAGAGAAGAATATTTAAGAGGAAAAGCAAGGGTTGCTGTTTTGGCCTCACTTAAAATCTTAGTAGCTGAAGGACAGATCTATTTTGCTACATGAATACTGAACTCTAGCTCTGTACAACAAAGATTTTCAGGTGCTAAGCATCTGAACTTCCCAGAGATTTTTCTTGTGTTCAGGTCCAGCCATTCCTGGAATAAATTAGAGCACACAGCTAGTGTGGCAGGGCAGTCATTAAAGAGATGCTCTCAGTGGCCCATGGGAAGAGGTAAGACTTGATCCCCTGTGTTAGACAGATGTGGCTTCTCAACCCCGAGTCATGACCAAATCAGAGGTCAGAACACACACTTCCTTAACTCCCAGATCTGTAGTGTTCCCTGAAGATGTTTCTGCTTTTCCTACAAAGTTTTAGCTGTGCAAAGGTCCTCATAAAGGCTTCAGCTTCTGCCACATTAAACTGTGTCCCCCCTCTACTCCATCCATCACACATACTCTTTGGTTGTTGAGGAGAATGGGAACTTATATTTTAGATAATTATAATGCAATACATTGAAG